CCCCCCCCATCTGCAGCTCATCATCCCTTCCGATTCAATCCCTGACTTCCAAGCCCAGATCCAAACCTCCTAAGGGTAAGGCCATCGACAGGTCTAGTACAACTAATCAGGCTAAGGCTGAGTGATATACCATTTGTTCGCCCGACTAAGGGTTTCTGGCCGGGGAGATCGAAGCCTTCTAGCTTTCAAGGTCTCCCTTTAAAAGGCCCGGCCGATTCTCCTAATGCTTAAACGGCATTTAGAAGCTTCGTCTTAGAACGCCCAAATTGCTCCCCTTCCCTCTTGTTGATTAATATTCACAATTTAAGTTATCAAGTTCTGACTCTCTTGGTTTATCTTCTTTTGTTACTCAAATCCTTCAACAAACCAACAACCAACACAAGCTTACTCGAGTCAAGTTTCTTCGAGATACCACTATCAAACATAAATTTATCCACATTGAAATTACATCACGACTCATTGTAGAAATTAGTTCATGGGCCCGTTAATCTCTTGGTGATTTACGATCCGGTTCCCTTGAAGCTTACATACTTCACGCTCATTGATGAACACATAAACGCGACAATTTCTCCTTCTGAGACCAATCTTTAACAGCATCGATCTTCACTCCTCACATCTTCAACATGTTCGAGAATTTTACTTTCGGCGCGGCTCCGGTCAATTTTGATCAATGCGACAATGATGTGCAACCATCGCCAAGGGACGACTCTTTTCCTGCATCATCACCCGCAACCAGCTCATGTCCCTTCTTCGAGGATTACAATCCTTCGTCGCCGCTGGACGATATCATCAATCAATTTCGAAAGCAATCTCTTTCCTATGAAGATGCAAGAGATTCACAGGCTCGGCAATGCACATCTCCAACGCCTTCCTTATCAGAAGATTCGGAAATGTCTTCCCCATCCAACTCCACACGATCGGTACCTACTACGCCTACTTCCCCTTACCGGGCTGGAGTGTTAGCCTGTCGGAGGCTACAACGCCAACTTAATGTGCAACTACAATGTTCCACCACTCACGTTCGCGATATCAGCACATTAGTCGAAGATATGCTTAGCAATAATTCTCAATGCAACTTGCGCAAGTCATCATCAAAACTCAGCCTTGTGCCTTCACCCATCTCGGCTCTGGTAGTCGACCATAATACACAAAATGATTGGAATGAGATTGAGATTGAAAAGGCGAGGAGAAGATGGTTAAACACTGTCATTAATGACGTTGACGAGGCATACGTGGGAGAAGAAAGCTGGGACAGAGAAGAATGTTCTTTGTCACTTAGAAGAGCAAGTACGCCTAGTGGAATTAGGAAGCAAGGCTTGAGGTGCAGGACAAGCATGGAAAGTGTAGGAGGGGGTAGAACGAAGGTTGCTAAGGCATCAAGAATGAGGATAAGAAAGGGAAAGGCCGGGAGAGTGGATTAATAGTGACGTTTAATACCCTGGGATACTCTAGACATGTTTGATGGTTACTGTGAAGTTCACCGAGGCTCAACTTTTAGGTTTTAGGATTGGCGTTTGAGGGATAGGATAGGATAGGATGAGATGGGATAAATACATGGCTACTTTTTCTAGGGAAAGGATTGGAATTCGGGTTGGTCTAAGAATTAGGTGGATGGGCCAGACATCTTTCCTTACTCACCTTGCTGGCCTGGGTTTGCTCAAACATATACCCCGGGATTTTGTAGACAGCGAGCGCACTGTTTCAATAATGTATATCACGGAGTAGACTATATATCTGCCCGTACGAATAATTTCAGATCCTTACATTCATATCTTGGTGCAATTAGCCCAAGTCAATGAATGTAAAATTTTCACATAACATATCTTACTCTGTGTGTAGTAAGTGAGAGACCCTTCCTCGCATTTCCTTGGGAATGATCATGTTGAGAGGCAAGTGCAAACATTGACTGATACCATTACCACATTTTCATACGAGCTTTCAAAATGATCAAGTCTCACATCTACCCACATAATTATGGAAATCTCATTATCAGGTATTTTATATAGTAGACAGATTATATATTCAATTCATAACTTCTAGCTTGGCCAAGGTCATGTTCAACATTGTAAACCCACTCACTGCACCTTTGCCGTGTCTCGGTTACCGTAAAATTTCTCCAATTTACTCAATTCAGCCTTTCCAAAATTCCATGGCCTTGCACTTCATTTAGCAATTTCTCGCCCTCTTACTATCACGAAATACACTATCAATGCAAATTCGACAATAAGAAGCTCAAGCGGAGCTCTCTACCCAATAAAATCTCTGAGAATGGCAGCGTCTTTACGCGCCGCAAGTTCCAACGTTTCCAATCGCACGGTTCATGTCAAAATATTCCCCTCTGCAAGAACATTTGCGGAGAGAAGAGAGGTGCTGAGGGTTTTGGAGAGGTTTGGGAAGGTTACTATGTTTAGGAGTTTGAAGGTGTGTAATTTTGTTCCCAGTTTGTATGCAGAGGGAATCTAATATATTCTGACCCGAATAAAAAGCATCACCCAATATCTCCTGTCCAGAACGCATTCATATCCATTTTCAGCTCCGCGACAGCGGCACAGGAAATTATCAATGCAAGCCCGGTACGATATCGATTGGTTGTCGAACCGGATCCGCAAGCCACTCCCACGATCTCTTCTGATGGAAATGCACCTTCGCAGAAACCAAATGAAAAGGTCTTCTCTCTTTCTCTAAACATTACTCGCTACACCCACGATCAGTATATTTCTCATCCACTCACCAATCCTCTTTATGGTCCATTCAAACCTATAGACCCGAAGAGATCTAGAATCACGGCGCATTTGAACAAAGGTTTAGAATCTAGTATGTGGAGCAAAGGGTTGGCGGATTGGGACAGTGATGCGGGGAAGAGGAGTGCATGGAATGACGAGGACAATGATGGAGGCGAAGAAGGAAATAGCTCAAGAAAAAGGAGAAATGATTCATCAAGTTCGAGTGTACCTTTGAGATTAGTTGAAAGAGATCTGGAGGCTCGGAAGGAAAGAAGGCCGAAGGTTATGGAGGGATTGGTGGGGTTAGTTGGAGAGGGAAACCGGTGAATTTTAATGAGAGAGATGGCGTTCTATCTCGAACTATAGAGTACAGGCTGTAGATACTAGCCACTGTCCTGTTTTAGGAGGAAGTGCTTCCGATTCAGGTTTTGTGGAATGGGGAGGAAGATAGTCAGGACAACAACTCAAGTGCTGAGGTCAGTCCAGTAAAGGGAGTCGCCAATTGGCTGTCATCTAAAAGTCGACTCGGGCAAAAATACCTGCAAGAGAAGCAAGGTGCTTCCTGTGAGTATGTATCTCCAGTTTGTACCACATATATACATGTGTATTGCTAGTGTTCCTTGGGTCACAAAAGAAACATGTATCTAGACTGCACATGCCCATCGCGGTATATGTATCATTGCCACTTTGGGCGTTGTGCGTCATTAATCCACGCGATAAGCATTCAATTGTTGCGATCAGTTTCTAGTTGATCGTTGGCCAAATTTTGTAAGATAAGTAGCATCGAATTTTCCCCAAGTTGCTTTCTTAAAACATAGACTTCAATTCAACTTCTCAATTTGTCTTCTCCAGCCAAGATTCTTTCACTCGCGGCGACCACTTCCGAGTGAACTTCAATCCTCAACACACATTTCACATCTCATTCACATCTCATAATCTTCCAAACCTGTCCTTTGATATTTCAGGACCAGCCAGAATCTTCATTTCCCCACAAGAAAAGGATGTCTCGAAAGCAATCTCAGACGTTCTCAACGCTACTATGGAACTACACTAATTGATGCTGGGACCAACTGCTATACTGATGGGTATTTCGGTCTGTTTATTTCTGCCCGATCAGTACCTTTGCAGCCTTATAAGAGATAAATGAATGGTTTGAATTGGGGAATGATTGTTTAATGGAGGTGCTTTGGATAGCGCATGAGTGACATTCGCGCGGATTTTAGGGAGTTCGCTTCGACGTCTCTTTTAAGATGCACATGATACCAAAGATAGAAGAAGTAAAACTACAGCTGAAACCAGACTTTATAGGTGAACAATTTGATTTCCACTGTTCTGATAATCTGGAGCCAAAGTGTATAGGGACTTCGATAAAAATATTGGGACCACAAGGTAGAAGTTCCACTTTCTGTCGGCTACCTTAGCTAAGCAGCTGAGGCGGTCCACCAGTGGGTGCATAGATTGACAGGACACTTCCCAACTTTCAATTTTTTTGACAAATTCATTCTTCAATTGTTTGATATTAGGACTTATACTTTGACTGTTTCATTTCGAATGAACAATTATAATAATTCTTAAAATATAAAATTGAGTATACCAGGAGATATCTACAAGTCCATTCTTGGAATGTCCCGTCAGTCTGTACACCCACTGATGGTCACTATTGGGCATAGAATTCAATGGCAAAATTATCATAAATAGTAGGTATACATCTTTGAAAATTGCGATTCCAAGAGCCAAAGAAGAAAGAACTTAATATATTGCTAACTATTGTTCTATTAATTTGTATTTTATTCATAGCGTTACAGGTTCTCAACAAATTCCAAACGATGATTACAGGGCTCTATCAATCAACTTTGGTATGGCCAAGCTGAATACATCATTTGGATCACACATCCACTTCAACTCAAGCAAATTACCACAATTCGGACCATGAATTTTAGACAGTGACAACTCGCTTTGTCGAGTCAAGGAAAATACGTCCCCTCCAAGATATTTTTCGGGTTTGTTCTCTTAAGCTCTCCCCAGAAGCTCTCCCCCCATCTGTTCGCATCTTCGAGGCTTTTCATATCAGATACTATTGGCAATATTGCAAGCATGAAATGCGGTTCTCGCGCGCCAAAAACAGCTGTGAGATCTGTCTTTGTTGATATTTCACGAAGTTCCTGCATGAAAAAGCCCAAGCAATCCCCCGTCATTCGTTTTGCATTCCTAGCTAAAACTGTCGTAATCTCTGGTGTTATACTTCGTAAATTTAGTGTAAGAGGTTTTCCATATCCACTAGCAGGAAGTCCAGTATTGTAATCCCCATTGAGAGATTGTAGTGGAGACGACTTCATTTTGGATGACAGGTGCAAGTGATTCGATATGAGCCAGCAATTGACGTCCAGTTCCGATGTCTTCAGAAATCCACATGAATTGAACCCCGAATATTTGTCCTTGGGAGCTTGGGAAGATTTTTTGTTGGGCTGTCAGTTGTAGAGGTAGTCCTCGCGCGGATAGCTCTCTGAATCTGCTGTTGAAGATCTCTACTGTTTTCGATATGTCTTCTGATTTGAAGATAATCTTGCCAGCAAGGACCTATAAAACTGTCAATTTAATTCCTCGTTTGAACCGAAAAGGGTGACAGGACCTTTTGTAATGGGTAAACCTTGATTCTTAGCTCCACAACAATCCCTAATGCACTGCCTCCACCTCTCACAGCTCGCAATAACCCATCTTCTCCTTCAGCGTCAGAGTCTTTGATCTCTCCGTCAGAATCAAAAACTTTCACACCAATAATCTGATCTACACCTAGTCCATAAGCAGCACTGAATGGGCCATAACCACCGTACATCGCCCATCCTGCGTAACCCATAGATGGAATAGGTACTACCGGCGTCATCAAGCCTTCTCCGCTCAGTTCACGAGCAAGATCTCCCTGAAGAATACCTCCTCCAATGACTGCAGAATTGCGGGTGGGTGAAACACGGATTGATGCGAGACAGCGAAGATCGATTGCTAAAGCGGAGGATGAAAATCCGAAACCAAAATAAGAATAACCACCACAACGTACTGTAATTGGGATTTGATGGTCTGTCGTAAATGATATCAATGTAGATACGTCTGCTATCGTCGCCGGTTTCACAGTGGCAAGTGGAATGGCAGCATTAGATAAGCAAAAAGTTGAGCGCGCAGCTGCATATTCTGGAGAGGTGGGAGTTATAAATCGAACATATGGGAGACGAGTTTGAATGAAATTTTTAAGGATAGAAAGATGGACTGATGATTGTGATATCGCGAAAGTTGCCAACAGGAACAAGAACAGGAGAACCGTGAAATGTCACACTCGGAGAAGAGATTATCAAGCTCATCTTTCCACGAGATTATATGGAAACATATAGCTTCTTGCACTTGAGCTTGTCGATCTTATCAACACTACACATGAGGCTATGATATACACTTTTGGGGGCTTTAAGAGCTCGATTCATGCTTCAGGTACGCTCCTCGTATCCCACAATTAATGGAATGGAACATTACCCTATCACGTGAATGCATTCCCATCACAACAACTTCAAAAGTAACAAGTCCCATAGAAAGTAGGATGCAAGTAATCACCAACATTCCTATTGTTGGAGAGGTCATCTAAGATGATATTATTGATCGATGAAGAAAATTGTAGGAACGGAAATATAACACGTGTCTTACATCAGGTAAGGCTCCATGCTTACTTTTTGGTTTCGAAGATGACGATGCTCGCATGCGGCGCTTCTTCGCTTCCATTATGTCAAATTATTAATAGCGCCTTTGCCGCGATGATGCAGAAAAGTTATAGTTCCATCTAATTGCTGCCCGCTGCCATCCGTCCGCTGCCCGCCACCAACTTCATCAGCCTTCAATCTTGACCAGTCATAACAATGTAACTTCCGTGGAGTGGATCACGTTGGAATACCAAGGAATGTTTCACATTGCATTCGGTGTATATTTAACATCCAGCCGTGCTATTACTACCTGACTATAGCATGTCCTGACTCCTGAATCCCATTCTTTACCAACACATCCGCAATATCAACTGTTTTTGATCGGAAATATCTGTACGAGGATGGGGGATCAGTGGAAAAGAGATCGGAGTTTGAAACCGCTGAGTATTGTCGGTATTAACAGATTGTCTCGTAAATTGGATGAACAGACTGGATGGAGGCTTTCAATGCCGAAACTAATCAGAGTTTAAAGTGCACTCGTCACTTTGAGCGATTTGATTGTTTCGATTGGAGTCAGGAACCAAGGACTTTTTGTTGTCCATCTACATCCTCGACTCTCGAAAATCTGGGGCCGACAAGGTTGTCGGTCTCCATTGCTATGCTTGCGGTTTGGGACCCAAAGGGTTATAATTCTATATATTCCATAGTCACACCATCACCGAGGATCAAATATGAAATATCGTGACACGACTACTGCGGGGTCCAAATTTGATCTGATCTTCGACGTTCTGCAAATATTTTTACATGTGGAAGTTCACCACACCAACAGAAGGAAGCTTAGTAGCAGCTTATGTTGGAAGTTTGGTGACAATGGATATAGATTGGAGGAAGCAAATGTCAGTCAGGCATTCCAAATCACCAATTCGAGTATGTCCGGTGACAACAGAGTCTTTTCAATTAATCTTTGATTTTAATTTGTTTCCGCGACAACTTCAATCTCCACTTTTGCGGCTTCTTTCGCCAACCTCACAATCTGCACACAAGTGCTCACTGGAAATGGCTCCTTGACCCATTCACCCCAGATTCTCTCTACTGTTCTAAATTAAGCAAGTTAGAAGAAAGTTCCCTACCCTCTCCAACTCTTCAATTGGTCCTCATACGACGACAACAATCAGAATTCAGAATCAGAACTCACTTCAAATCTCCCATGTCAACCAAAAATACACGTCTCTGTACCACCTTATCCAGTCCACTTCTGCTAGCTTCCAAAATAGCTTTCAAATTTCTCATAATCTGCGTAGTTTGCGCCGCTACTCCCCCGGAAATTATACGTCCATCGCCAGGTAAATCCCCCATCAAGCCACAAAGATAGACTGTAGATCTGTTGGATGGAATCGTATTGCTGTGAGAATAATTTCCATTCGGAGGAGCGATAGTCGAGATTGTGAGAGCGGTACGAGAGGGTGCTCGCTCGTGGATTTTGCTGGATTTGTAGGAACCAGTTGTGGATGACATTATTATTATGATAATTATGATTTGTTTCGTGTGTGTATGTTTGTTGTGTCTTCAGATGTTCAATTGAGGTCGATTCGTGAGACCTTGAATGTTCTTGTATGTTCTAGACCCTTGAAATTGCTATGACGTCACATTATAAATTGTGGTTAACGTATTGGCTTCTTCACATCATCCAATGCTGGTAGTTTCAGCCGCTGACACATGATTTCTTCTCGGGTACATGGGTATGCTATGTTCCAGTGATTGATATTCTTGATTTATTTCAACGGGCGAGTTATTATCATCAACAACGTAATTATGCCAACTATTGTCAAATAAAGAAGTATAAATCTATTGATGATTCGATTCCATGTCTTTTTCGTGGTTTTCGCAGTCATCATCCGAATTCAGAGTTGGTCTTAGCAAGGCTGAATTTATGCCTTCGATACTTAGAATTACAATCTTGCAATAACATCTAATCCATGTATCCAAGTGGTTTTGTGGATAGAAAACAATATCGAGGAAGAAAAGGTCAAACACAACGAGCGCCGTTTGGCGCCGCCATAAAATCAAGAATACTCCTATTCACCCGAACAGTCCCGAAGTTTATCCAACAGTATTCCATCGATACATAGGTATCTAGTACTTCCCGAATCATCACAATAAGTTATAGCCGAAGAAGCCACTGTTGGAATGGTCGGGATATAGTACCGTTTTCATGTCGTGGGCGTCAGACTATTTAGAGAATCTGGGCCGCTAGTATACAGTTAGAAACAGTTGCTCATATTCTTGCAATCATTATTGCCAGTATTGTTGAGCTATCAAGTACTTGTAGTATCACAAACGTATTCGATGATGGAACTGGATCGGAAAAGCACCTCGAATTGAAGCTGTTGGATTGGAATTCCCCTAATCATAGAGAGCATTCGAGGGACTTGACTTAGGAGTTGCAGGTATTAGTGAAAGGCGTCCTTGTTCATCTGTGAGGGCCTGGGACTCTGGTGTTGGTAGCCGTGATGGAAACCCCCTCAGCTGTCAAGAAGAGCTGGGTATCCTGTTTAGAGGTTCTCGATGTGCTTCAATGTTCGTTTTTTTTAATCTTTTTTTCTCTCCCGGAATTCATTAATAGAATGGTACTTTTCTGGGAATAGGATCAAAGTGCTATCGAATTAGAGGAGTTAGTGCAATGTCTTTTGCTCAGTGTGTTTCTTAATCATTGGACTTAGTCGACAACGTGGTCTCGAGAAGAGAGAACGGGTATGCAGTTGAGATTCCTGCGCCAATTTTCTAACTATAATGTAGATTTTAGCGCCGTAGTTCAGTACCGTTCAAGCATGAGATAATCTACAAATCTTCCGCCGGGTTTATGGGTCATCTGCAGATTATCTACAAATACCCACTTGTCTACAGATGATCCACCTATCTGCAGATTATCTACAAATACCCACTTGTCTACAGATGATCCACCTATCTGCAGACAATCCACGGAGCTCGTAGAGACTGCGACGGGTACCGAGCAATGTTGCGCAGCCTCAGTATGATCTTATATTAGACAGCTCGCCATTCAATATTGGGACATCTGGAATTTTTGTATACATGCCTTGAGGGTATCAACAGTTCCGGGAGTCAGGTGGTCAGAATATCAGATATATATTGATTCTTGGGGTTTGGAATCGAAATACGACAGAAGAGAAGTTTATCCAGGCAATAAAAAAGGCCCATGCTACTGGGGCATATGTTAAGCTTGAATGCATATTGCTTTATGGAAATCTCTCCTAACTGCCGTTCATATCCTCTCCATCGAGAATCCTGACACGAAGAGAATTTCCAAGGCTATGTTGATTTTGATATCGCTATTGTTGGTATTCAATCATATTCAACGTTTCAAAATGCCAGGAATGCAGTCCGAGATTCTGGGAGATATCAGTTTGATTCATTCGGAGCATCAGCACTCTTCACCATTCTTGATTCTCTCGAAAGATTGAACTCGCGTGAGATATTGGATTCATTTTCAGTGTTGAATTCTTTTCGATATTTCGAAGGCTCATCTTTTAGTATAGCAATCTGGCCTAGTGGATGTTCGGTCCCTAGTTACTGGAGAAAGCAATGTATAGTCCTAGTATGGAATTATCAAGCACCCCCACCACATCGTTGTTAAAATTTGCGACGATTCCTTCGATTCTTGTATCCAAGAGCCTGGTAGATTCCCGAAAACTTAACTGTGATATACGACTAGCTGGTATTACACATGAAGAGCACGAATTGTTTTATTCATGCCATAGAAATTTAGAATGCGACTTCGAAGATTTTCAGATTTTTGCAGGCAAATCTCAGCGTGTAATGTTTCTGTAGTTTTGAATATCATATATATCACTAGGGAGAATTCACAGCTCCTACTCGGTCATTCTTGGGACTCTATATAGTCACATTTATGCGTAAACGTAGCACATCTCTTCCGGATTTGATCTGAGATAAATATAGATAAAAACCATCAAGACTATGACATTGCGATCAATACGTTCTCTTGAATTCTTTGAACAGAAGGTATTCAGTTCTTGGTTTCTCTGTCCCGTAACGAGGAAGAAGATGTTGGGCCCGCCATTGGAAGGTAATCTAGAAACACAATGAACCGAAGAATGCGAGGAAGTTTCTCATAATGCCCATATGAGTACCTTAAAGATTCTTTACTTTCGTGCACAAGTATGCATCGTCTCAATCAACTGAGCCTCGAACTTCGGCGTGTTGTGTAAGGTCTTGCATATTCTCAAATGCCACTCGAAGATTCCCAAGTAGCTGCCTATTCTTCCAAAGGATGCAGAAAGTGAAGGAAATATGCAATGTAAGATTGCTACATATCGTCCCCGCTCCGGGGCGACTCTTACAAGTACATGAGCTACCAGCACAGAAGGCTCGAGCTCCTTGAGATTTTCAGGTACACATTTTGAATTTGCGAAACTCCACATCGCCTTTCCGTAACATCATGATGGTTGAATCACCTTCAGATAGGCCTCCCTCTATTATCGTTCATCTAATACGCCATGCTTCGGTACTATTCCCACATGTCGTTTCCTTTCAAGGTCTTTTGGCTAACTTTAGTGTAGTCAAATCACTTGGAAGGTGGACTCGACTCTGGCTTATCTTCTAAAGGAGAACGCCAATGTGACGAGCTTTACGAAAGTATGCGAAAGCATGCAGGCTATATCACTCATATTTTCTGTTCGCCTATGAAGCGTTGCTTAGAAACTGCTCGAAAAGGTCTCCTCGAGGCGACGAATAGGGGTACCAGGATCCAAATCATGCCTGCTCTTGCCGGTCGGAATGGCCAAGCACCCTGGAATTTGCGAGAGGAAAATCAGGAAAATGATATCAGTGGTCCTTGGGTCAGTGAGGTAGCAGATCCTAGATCGAAGTCCAAGGATGCTGATTTCGTTATGAAATGGTTGAGTGGGAAAGATTTGTCTGTACAGGCGGCTCAAAAAGTGTTGGAGGTTGTGGTTGTGAGCCAAGCTCAACTATTGAGCGAATTGTTATGGAAATTGAAAGGAGGTAGGCTATATAACACCACTATATGAGCTCGACCACATAGAT